TTGCAACTCCGTTGAGGTGCTTCCGTCGAGCACTGACTGATGAGCATTTACATTAAGATTCTGGAAGAACTGCTGCGCTATACCAAGGAGCAATCGGTGCTGAATCCGAAGGAGTGGATGGCGCTGGCTGATTGGTTATTGAAGGACTACGAATCGAAGCTTGTGCATGCGGTAAACTTTGAAGGATACGACGGCGAAGACGACGACATCAAATATCAATGGACGTACTTTGGCGCCCTGCTCTATTCCGTTACCGTATTTACTACGATAGGTAAGCAACGACCACATGATAGTAATTTGCAACAACAGTTAATTAATCAAAAACTAAGATGGATTAAATTGCTAATTAACATATACACAACATCTGTCGATCGTTGGTGCCCAGGCTCAACCTTTGATTCTTTGATATTGTAGGATCAAATTTCAAATTATCTAACAGTTGGTTCCACAACACGTCGTACATTCACTCTGACTACTTGCTGCACTCATTGTCAGGAAGTTCTGGGAGAGTAATAATTAGCTTTTTCGTTATTCTTAGCATGCAGATCATTTCATCGGTTAGTTTTAATCATTAATAATTTTATTAAAGATCACTAAGAATGATCACGGTTGTTCCAGAACAAGGAATATGAACAACCGAATGAATGAGTCAAAGAAAGAGTGAATGAATAAATGTAGCGAATAAATCGGAGGAGGATCGGTATTTACTTCAAACATATGGTTTATACCAGTCAGATCATTTCGTTTCTGAACAGCTAGCAGAAGTAGTCGAATTCAGGCGTTTCGTGCATGAAGATCTGATATTTGCATTTGCTAATAATTTGCTAATTTGCCAAACCTCTGTCAAACTTCAGGATACGGTCACATATGTCCGAAAACAAAACTCGGCCGAGCGGTGACCATCGTGTACGCGATGATTGGCATTCCACTGATGCTGCTGTGTCTGGCCAACATCGCGGACTCCTTGGCACAGCTGTTCACTTTCCTGTACTCGCGAGTTTGCTGCGCGTACTGCCGCTGGCAGAAGAACCGTAAGCGTTTCAAGAGGGCCGCCCTCGCTTATCGCACTCACGCGCCCTCGGTTCGAGTGGTGCGTAGAAGTAAGAGGCAGCGCAGCTTCTTCTGCTTCTTACTATACTCCTAAATTTGTAACAGAATACACTGGACTGTACTCGAACAAAGCCAACGGCCACACTATCCGTCGTTATGGCAGTGACAAAAGCCCAACCGGATCGCAGATCGCAAGAACCGACAGCAACAGAACGCAACAACGCTGGGAAATACAGTAAGTCGATGATTACAAATTTTGCTATTCATATAAGTGGTGCTTTACACTACCTTTCGATCATAAATGCAATCTCTGGGTGCGATTTAAAATGTCATTTTCCGTACAGTTTACAGTACGTGCATCGAAACATGGTCTTGAGCTATCATAATTGTCGTTTGAAAACATTTCTATTGTTCTACCTCTTCCTACCCTCATTGATCGAAGACGGCGCCTAGTGCCATAAAGCATTTTACCTCGATTCAATAAATACGTGCTCCTCCGTCAGTCCGTTCGATGTCATGACAGTTCTAACGAGATCTTTCCATCTTTTTGGATGTCTTTCTGGCGGTCGCCTAGCTTACCATGAGGTCTTGCGCATGGTATCCTCTTCGCAAGGCGGCAATCGCAGTTTGCTATTAATGGCCCAGCGATCTTAAACACTTTGCTTGCAACTAACCTGTGACTCTAGCTGGGTATGCTAATCTCGCTAAACCGTACCACTTCATAATTAAATTTATTCTTGAGGTACATTTCCATCGCTTCCAGGGCTGTTTTCAGCTTTTTTAAGTGCAGTCGTCTTCAAGCTTTAGAGCAAGGTGTTCACGATGTAAGCCCCGTATATCCGCAACTGTGTCCTTCCAGAGCTTGCATAATTTGTTGCTCGCTCATAATGCCACAGTGCCTCATAACTACGTTTGTCGCTCTTCCGTCTGTAGCCAATATACTCCCAAGATACAGATTTTCAGGTAGCTTTTCCACAGCTTCGGTATCAAGGGTCAGACTACTTTTCATCAGGGTTCTACCATTTCCCATCCTTTCACTTTCTTTAAGTTAATCATTAACCATCAGAACACGTATGTTACAGGTTGGGAGTAGTGAGGTCGCAGGTCTGAACTTGTCGGCAAGAAATACGATGTCATCCACAACCACAGAGTTTGCCCACTCTTGTCATCGTAGCTTCAATTTTTTGTATTTCCTGAAGCACGGAATCAGGATATATGTCAAACAGCAGTGGAGATTCCTTGCCTACTTGCCTTACGCCAAACTTTGTACGAAAGAATTTGCCAAACTTGTCACCAATTCACGCAGTACTTAACGAATAATTATACATCGTTCCAGTTTTGCGAATACTCCCCCCCC